AATGAATCATGCTCAATGATCAACACAAAATATTTTTTATTTAAATCATCAAACTCATCAAGTAATGACATGTGATTGCTATTAATTTGGACGTGATCTTTACATAAAACTTCATGCTTTTTTTTTTAAATTTAAAAATTATAATTTTAAACAAGCATGTGATTTCATAAGTTTCCTATATAATGCATAAATTTTCTCACAAACTTCAAGTAATTGTTCGTAGCTTTGTTTGCATACCTCTTCTTGGTCAGATTGACCAAGATGATCGTCTACCATCAAACACATATTTGTTGTTTCCTCTTCAGCTTCAATCTCAGAGGAGTTAGATGTAAAATCCACCCAGAATGCCTTTTAGAACTATTTTTTGTCCTTCTTAAACTTGGGTCTCTCCTCACGCTTCTCCTTTCTTGGGTGAGTCTAAAGTGTAGGGCAATCGACTTTAACATGTCACGGCTTCCTGCTTTTAAAATAAATCATATCATTAAAACTTTTAAAATTTTTTGCTACATTTACCTTTATTCTACTTATCATGGTTCTTTTGCTTCTACCTTAGAAAGCTTTTGAATTTTCTCATGATTAAGGCAACATTATCTCTTTTAGATCTAGAAGAATTAGTGTCAATGTCATTGGCATTCAGCATCACAGTTTTCTCCTTCTTTTTCTCACATACATCAAGTTGTTTTTGGTTCACCCCTTACTCATAAGCAATGAGTGATCCAAGTTAGTTATCAATAGAATAAGTATTCAAATCCTTATATTCAGTTATTGAAGTAATCTTAACATCAAGGAAGAAGACAAGCATCTCAAAATTTTATTAACTTTTTCATAATTCGTGAGTTCTCTTCCAAAGGTATATAGTCAGGTAATAATTTGAGTAAACGTAATATACATGTCATAAATTGATTCAGTAGGTTTCATATGAAAATGTTCGTGGTCATGTAGTAATATATTCAATCGAGATTGCTTAACTTCATTTTTTCCTTCAGAAGTAATACACAATCTATCCTAAATTTTTTTTACCGGTAGCATAAGTTGAAACACGCATGTAATTTGTATTTCAAAGCACAGAAAAAATAATTCAAATATTTTGCATTAATTTGTACTAAATCCCTATCATCAAAATTCTATTTAGTAAAAGGAAGTTCAATTTTAATGCCTTTAATTTCACGTGATGGAGATGAATAACCTTCTTTAACAAGCATCTATATATGATAGTCAATCGATTGTAAAAACATAGATATACAAGATTTTCAAAAAGTAAAAGGAATAATTTCATACAAAAGTAGTCGGAAAATAGAGTACCCTTCCGCAGTATTTTGATTATCAGAGTTAACCATGAATCAAATTTCAAAAGTTTTCAAAAAATCCTTTTTATGAATCTCGCTCTGATACCACTTGAAAGTTCGCCAAGGATGTTAAGTTCTTATGAACTAGCCCAAGGCTAACCAAGAAGGGGGTGCATTAGTATTTTAAAAAATTTCTCAATCAAAAATACAAATTTAAGCCAAACTAAAATTAACCATAAGGAAAATGAACTGCGGAAATTAAATGTGAAAAAAGCAATAATAAAGAACGCACAAAATTTTATAGTGGTTCGGTCAACTTTACCTACGTCCACTCCCCAGAGCCTCTCCTCTGGATATTGCAGTAAACTCAGTGACTCTCCTTTTACTCCCACAACAAGATGAAGAGGCCTATACGAACTTCCTTTCCATCGACACTGGTGAGGAAGAGAACCTAACTCTTTTTGCTTTCTCCTGAAGTAGGCAGAGAACCCAACTCCTTTCGCTTTCTCCTAGATGGCAGAGAACCTTGATCAGTTGCTGAAGTAGACCTCTCTCAAATCTCCAAGGAACTAGGGACAACGACCCGAGCAGACGACTCGAATCCTTGCTTGGAGCATCCTTTATGAAACCCCTCACAAACTCCCCCTCACAAGATCCACTCTCTCTCTCTCTCTCTCTCCCTTACTCTCCCTCTCCATTTGGCTCTCTCAGGTCAATATAGCAGCAAAAGATGCTATCTTGGATAAACAAGATGTCTTAAATAGAAGAGCTCCAAATTCACTCTTAATTATAACAAACCGACTTTATCATCCATGACAATATTCATATCGTCCTGGATGAATAGTTCAAATCGATGAGTATCATTCAGAAAATCGCACTGAATATATATCTCGACGAAGGAAAAGTAAAATGATATTCTCAGATGATTTGATGATTTTCTAGGCCGATTTGTTCAAAATAATAAATATTGTCGAGAACATCGCCCTAATTGCATGTCGAGATGATGGAAAAATAACGGATCATCTAGGACGATTTGGGATCATCTCAGATAATTAGTGTAAAAATAATATACATTGTCCAGAACTTTATTCTGGTCGTCCAACAAGATATTAAGGTTCATTTAACTGGTCATCCCGATCGATCCTACGATCGTCCAGGATAATATGATCGTGCAATCAAACATTAATTGCTTTCTTAAATTATTACACTAATTAAGGCATAACTACACTGCATCGTCTAGGATGATGTCCTGGATATCCTGGACGATGTCCAAAAATAAAACATGCCTAAAATGTTATGGTGGATGATTCTTTTTTATTTGAGCTTATCGTCCTGGACGATGCAAATATCATCCAGGATGATTTGCTTAATTGTGGCTGCCTTAACGAGGTAGCCCTAATAAGGGTTTTTATTTTTGATTGATCGTCCAGGACGATTTTGGATCGTCCCAAACGATGTGATAAAAAGTAGAAAACTCTAAAAATAGATAGAAATTTTCTCCCGAGTGTGTGTGTGTGTGTAAGGTTACCTAGCATCGGGACCCACATTGTTACAATTGACCCAATAAAAGGAAAAAGATACTTGACGTACATTACAAACTGATTCAGTCCTAATCTACCCAATCTTGAGCAGGTTTGATTTACAATTTGATCTTGTGGACCTGAATAATTAGTAGGTAAGACAGTCGTAGAAAAAGCAGAAGTGTAAGAATAGTTTGCTATCATCAAAATTATAATTCTTGAATCCAGATTCGCAACACAATATTGAAATTTAAGGGAAGGATTGATTTTTCCGTTAAGGATTATGGGGTTTAGTGGGCCCATGCATGGCTAACTATGGCCAATCAGGGTTCACCAAAATGCAGTTTTGTGTTTAACATGTCATAACAATGGTTATGAAAATGTTTAAGGCTTTTGGGAAGGTTATGAAGGAAAAACTACAATAGGTGCACAATTCAGTGACTTGAGTTGTAAATATTTAAAAATTTTGCAGCCTTTAGAAATCAATTTAGCTTTTGAGGTTAGAGGACTCATATTGGCCTCAAATTTTGAGGGGTGACCCTAGAGACATTTCTAATCAATATACAATTGACGGGTCGTGAATTAGAGGTCATTTTTTTTTAAGTGATTGAAAAATTACTCAAAAAAGATTTTGAGACATAGACTTTTGGCTTTGATTTTATGTTTTAGATTTTGGATTTGATATTTGTTTTGGATTTGCTTTTGATTGGTGAACCTCGTGCAAGAATGAGGTCAACAACCTTCCGTTGACCCAGTTAGGAGAGTAAATGTATTAGATTAGACCTATGTTAAGAAAGATAGATGCAGACCTAAGATTTCATTACAAAATATTAGAAATAATATTATTTATTAGAATTAAATGAGAACTTAACTCTACGGCACAATACAGAAAAAATGATTCATATAGCCCACGTAGTGGGAGGTGATTATTTAAAAGTTATTAACAAGATTTTAGGAGTGAAACCCGCCTATATTAAAGTGATGATTTGGCACTCAACATTTTCTTTCAAAAAATTCTCTTACCTAATTTTCTTCACTTATAGAGATATCATAAGAAATAAATTTTGATGCCATAACATTAAAGCATTTTTATCTAAATGATATCACACAATTGTAGACATCACTAAGTCATGTCCATCAATCATATTTCTCGATTTTAAGACTATATCATTCACTCTATCTATGAATATGAGATCTTAAGAATAATTTTATTCATTCCTTTTATTTTCATCTTCTGATCTTGAAGCCCCAATGGGCCCCATTCAAGAGAATTAAAAACCTAATCAAACTAAATTGCCAAAAATAGGGAGGAGGCCGTTAGAATCAAGTAGTTACAAATTAATATCTTATATTCAGCCTAATCCCATAAAGTTGTATATTTCTTTTCCGGAAATTACGAGTTAATTGTTTCTGCCAAGCAATATTAGATCATGTTATTAAGATTAAGATTTTATTTGGGATAACTTTCATACTTCTTTCTAAAAATAAATTTTTAGCATAAAAAATTTTAGAACTAAAAGTTCCTAAATGAAGCTAAAATTTCGTTTAAATTTTTGTACTAGAAAATTGCTTTAAAAATCAATTTAAAAATAGTTTCAAATGAAACCAAACAGTTATGCATTAGTCAAGTCTAGCTATTGTATATTTCATTTGATGAACATAAATGGTCCATTATCAAAATTTGGAATAGTTCATTAGCGGGGCTCCAGTTAATAAAATAGTAAACTTATATTTTATTGCACCATGCCATTTTTAGCCTCACCTTCTCTCTCTCTCTCTCTCTCATTAATAAATTAATTTAATTCTGGCTTGAAGATAATACTTTCATGATTAAAGATTAATATTAGCGCATTATTTAAATTTTACAAATTAGTGGAACAACTGTTAAGAAAAAAAAACCGTAAAATAACTGTTAATCTCTCCTTATTCTAAAGTTGTGATAAAATTAAGCCATTTTTTACAACTTATTTTTGGTCTTATTGTGGAATGGAGAATACAGCTTATCTAACCAAAAAAACAACTAAAATTTTATTATTAAAAAACATCAAAATAATACTTTTAGCCAAAGATGTTTATAAGGGAAAACATTAATCTATTGGGCAGTCCAGTAACATTGCCACTTGTCTTTAAAGAGTCATGTAGCTTCAATTCTTTTGTTTTTTTTGGTTAGCCAAAGATGTTTATAAAGCCTTTTTTATTCCGTTTTCAAGTCATCTATTGTTAACAAAACTTTGACGAGGACGCATTTTTTAACAACTATATAAGCATTCTTCTTTGCAAGAGATCCCATCAAATCCTTCATTAGTCCTGATTATTGATTCTGGAATCTAATAGCAAGAGATCTACTTGCCATGGAAAGCCAATTGACAGTTCTCGTTCTCCTCCTCTCGAGCTTAGTTCTCATCTCCCAGTCTGCAAAGGCAGCTCCTAATCCTTCACCCACCCCAATCAAGGCCGTCAATCTTGGTGGGTGGCTTGTCACCGAGGGCTGGATCACACCCAACCTATTTGATGAAATTCCTGTCAATAAGGATCTATTGGTAATGAACAATTACTGCTTATTTTTTTCAATCTTCTTACTTACAGCTAACATTATAATGTTAATTTCAGGATGGTACTCAGATCCAGCTCAAGTCAGTCACTAAGAACAATTACCTCTCAGCCAATAATAGTGGAGGATCGGCAATCCTTGCAAGCCAGTCATCGGCTTCTGGGTCGGAGACATTCAAAGTATATAGCTTGTATTATGTCTTTTGTCTTATATGTAATTCATATTATATGAATCAAACTCAATCATGAACTGATAAATAGAAATGCTATTTAGTTGTGGAGGATCACCGAAACAACGTTCCAGTTTAGGATTTTCAATTGGCGATTCTTGGGGCTAGATGATCAGGACAATTTGGTGGCGACTTCAACCTCATCTTGTGACTCAGATTCTTCACATACATTTGAGATTGTGAGGAATGATGACGATCCTAATCGAATACGCATCAGAGCGCCCAATGGTTCTTTTTTGGAGGTGTTTGTTTGCATAGATTCTTGAGATTGATTGTAATGGGAATCATCTTACTTTTTATTCTGAAGTTCTAATTCCTTGAATGTTTTAATGATCGGTAAATTAGGTCAAGCCAGAAGGGTTGGTGACAGCAGACTATTCGGAGGATACTAATTGGGGAGATGATGATCCTTCCATTTTTTTATTGACTAATGTGAGGCAGATCCAAGCTGGAGAATTTCAGGTCACTAATGGCTATGGAGCTGACAAGGCCCCATCTGTAATGATGGTGAGATCATTATAATATGTTTATTACATCAAAAGGCTTGATTAGAAAGTATAGAAATGATTCATTTTTATTAGATTTAAATAAGAATTTGAGTCTTAACAGAATATAATGGAGAAAAATGATTAATGTAGTCGACCACACAGTGGGACTAAGACTTGATTTTGTTGTTGTATTAGACGTGGAAATATGATGCAATAATAATACTAATCAAATGGTTGTTGGGGTTTGCAAAATCATTGGAATAACTTCATAGTGGAAGATGACTTTAAGTTCATGTCAGAAAATGGTTTGAATGCAGTGAGGATTCCAGTTGGGTGGTGGATACGATTTGATCAAAACCCACCTCATCCTTTTGTTGGTGGATCCTTGCAAGCATTAGACAATGCCTTCTCTTGGGCAGAGTAAGCATATAGTGTGTGTGTGTTTTTTTTTTTTAATTTCTAAACCAGAAAGAAAGTATCTCAATCACATATGAATGTCCCTCTTACATTATAACGTGGATTTACATTGTAGGGAGTATAACATAAAGGTGATCATAGATTTACATGCTGCACCTGGATCGCAAAATGGGTGGGAACATAGCGGAACAAGAGATGGAACACAGTTATGGGGCAAGACAGATGATACCATCAAAGAAACAGTTGCCGTGATCGACTTCCTCACGTCGAGGTAGTATGATTTGAATCTTGATCCATGATGCATTATTTGTTTTTCATTATGCTTTACAAATACCCATATCACTCAATCTTGCACAGGTATGCAAATAGAACAGGGCTTTATGCAATTGAGTTAATGAATGAGCCATTGGCTCCTGGAGTCACAATTGATCGCCTTAAGAAGTATTATAAGGTTGGTTATGACACGGTGAGGAAGTACTCTGATGTGTATGTGATCATGTCAAACCGTTTATTGACCAGAAATCCAACTGAGCTCATCCGATTTGCGAGTGGCTTCTCTGGATCAGTTATTGATGTCCATTACTACAATATGTTCTCAAAGGTTTTTGAGGACATGACAGTGCAGCAAAACATCAACTATATTAAAAAATATCGTGCTTCTACTATTAAATCATTAACAATTTCCAATGGTCCTCTTATCTTTATTGGTAAGCATCATAATTTTTTTAACATTTTCAATACATTTGATGTATTTTTTATCATAAAAATAAATCATAATTCATTGATGCAGGGGAATGGGTGGATGACATTGATGTAATTGTTGCATCCAAAGATGATTATCAAAGATTTGGGGCAGCGCAACTTGAAGTGTATGGGATGGCGACATTTGGGTGGTCTTATTGGACTCTAAAGAATGTTAGAAATCACTGGAGCCTAGAATGGATGATAAAAAATGGATACATAACTTTATAAAATATTAAACATTTATTGAAGATAGTGGGCTATTGAAAAGTGATCTACATCAATAAGATTAAAGCTTGTAATACAAAATGCATATTTCCTAAGAGTTATATCACACGCTTATTAAATTTGGGAAATAAACTTCGATTTTGACCATAAAATGTAACAATAATTGAATTTGTCAAGATTTATATTCAAAGTTTTATATTGAATTTTGGCTATAATGGTTTGTTGTCATCCCTCCATAAGATTGTTAACTATTGTATCTCAAAAATGGTTTCCAATAATATTAGAGATTAGGTAGATTAATCATGCCTGATATCATGATGTGTATATAATCAAATAGAACAATAGGTAAGCAAATTAAATGATTTTGTTCACGAGATGACTCTGTAATGCTCATGTTAATGAGCTAGAAGGAAAATTAAAAGGGGACATCAACTCAATATAGTTTTCTATTTGGGAAGTAAAAGTAATGAAAGAATAAGAGGTTTACTTAGCCCACTTGAAGTATTTATGAGTACTTCGATGAAAGGCAGTTTATTACTTTTTTTATATATACGACTGTAAAAATGAATAACTTCTCTAAGATATATGTTGGACAAAAATGCACCTAAATTGAGGGTATTGTTTTCCATTAGCCAACTAGTCCATGAAATTGTGAAAAATCAAGCCATGTCATCTTTGTGAATCACATTGGATTGCATGCCCTTGACGTTGATAAACATAAAAGTAGAGGCCCTAAACCCCAAGATTAGTGCTATTAACAATGTCTTTGATGTTATTATTAATGAAAGCCTAAATTTGATGGCCAAATTGATGATGGAATTATGATATTATTGTTGACAAACATTGTCATCAATAATATTGTTTAAAGGGATAACAAAAATCTTGACTTGATTGAGATGTTTAGGAACTAAAAAGAATGTCCTAATCTTCTTCATCTTTAGATCAATAACTCATTTTATGTCTTTCACTTTTTTTATATCTTTCATGCAAAATTAAAAGAATTGCTCCTTGCTATATCAATACATAACTATTTGCATCTTTTTTGCAATGCTTGAAATTATTTAATTCTTGTTTCTTTAAAATTTGAAACTTTCTTAGTTTAATCACTATTAAGGTATCAATGCAGGCACTCCATCATTTTGCATCCCAGGAGATTATACACAAACCTAATTATTTTTATTCCGCGCTTAGCAAAATCATAAATAAAAATCTTTGTTGAAATTTAATGACTTTGAAGAACAACAAATAGTGATAATGAGGCTGATTAGACTTCCCTTGTGCTAGTCCAGTACAAAGGCAAGGCCAAGCAATTATAATGATGGTACATTATTGCAATTACAATGATTTATACAATAATATTTCTAGTTAGTTTATCAGTATAATATATAATATCCAAAAAAATTTGAAAATTTTTACTTTTTCAAATTATTAAGAAAAATTTTAAAAATAAAGAAGAACTATTATTTAAAGCAAAAACAAAGTTATATTAATGATTGGATAAAGGAGGTTGCATAATATGAAATATGATATAATATAGATTATACATGCAACAAAAAACTAATCATTCAATTTTATAAATGGAGAAATTTTAATTATATACAAAGAGTAAGAAAATTTTCCTTGAATCCATTCTCTCTCTCAATCTTCGAATCCAAGATATCTCTCAAGTCTTAAGACTAAAGACACAATAGACACTCCTTATTAAAACGATGTCTAACACATGTCATATAATAATCACTGCTTCTATTTTAGTTCACTTTATATAAAAAAGAAAAGTTTGTTAAAGCATGGGTGACGTTTAATTCAGCATGGCATGTGATTCATATCATAGACTTATTAAAAGAAATCATGGCTATAAATTGTTGCATACTAAATGAATTTAAGAGCAACTTATAATAAAGCATTATACTGGACAGAGTATATCTTGCAGATAATTCAAATAAAGCAGACTTTGCATTGAAATTAAACAATAGTTTAAATATCAAAATAGAAAGTAATAGATTCCCTTTACCCTTATGAATCTTCTGTGCTAGCATATAAAAAAAAAGCTTTTATGACTCTCAAATGCTTAACACGTATAAAAAATTCAGGCCCTTATGACTCCCGATACTTTCAACACAATAGAACTTCCTTCAACTATAAATATCTATAGAATCATAATGTTTTTGTGATGATTTGGTTTGTGATAATCGTTCTTTTTGCTTAAAGAAAATTTTAAATACCAATTCACCCCCCCTCTCTTGGTTAGCCTCAGGCCAGTTCTATAGGGCTTAACATCCCTAACAAACTTTCAAGAGAGAGAGAGAGAGAGAGAGAGAGAGAGGAATTTATGAGGGGGAGTTTATGAGAGGGTTCACAAAGGTTGCTCAAAGCAAGGTTCCATGTCACCGTCTCTGTTCTTCGTCCTTCGCCCTTGGGATGTTCTTGGGAGGTCTACTTTAACAAAAGGTCCAGGTTCTCTGCCCGCTTCAGGAGGAACCAAAAGGAGTCGGTTCTCTGCCACACCGGGGTTAGTGAAAAGGAGTCTATAGTAAAGGCTTCTCCGCCTAGATGTGGGAGCTAAAGGAGAGACACTTAGTTAGTGCAATACTCGGAGGGTACCTCCGAGGAGTGGACGTAGGTCAATGTTTGATCGAACCACTATAAATTCGGTGTGATCTTTCTTTGTTTTACTTCCGCATTTAATTTCCGAAACCGCTACTCTTGTGGTGAATTGTTTTGGGTTTAATGTTGTGCTTTACCTAAGAAATATTTTTTAAAAAATACTAATTCACCCCCCCCCCCCCCCCCCCCCCCTTGTTGTCCCCCGGGGTCCCCCTCCTCTTGGTTAGCCTCGGGCTAGTTCTTAAGGGCTTAACATCCCTAACAAACTTTCAAAGTTGTTGAGCTCATGAGAGGGGAGGGGGGGACCACACCTTACCCCATATGGATAAAAGGATTAAGCTTAGTTAGAGGACTGCTTATAAGGGTTTTAGGGTTGATTTAAGTATTTTAAGCAAGGAAAATCTTGAGGGAATGGGGGTTAATGGGGTTTACTCATTTTCATCCATTTTGACCCATTTCAACTAATTTTGGGCTTCCATTCACTTGTTGACCAGTCATTGTTGACTGGAATGGAGGTTGAGAAGGTCATGTATAGTGTAGTGGGAGACTCCAAGGGGTTTGAACCCAATGTTTGGGTATTTGGATTAGAAATTTAGGTACAAGCACGAATTTGACCCCACATGATGGATTGACCAAGTAAAATTAATGATGGTTTAACTTACGAAAATGTTGGACATTCTTAGAATATATAATAAAATAATTTTGAATATTCAATTTGGTTTGGTGGTTCATGAAGCATTGAATTTAATTTTAGTGATGTGTATGGTTGATTTTGGTTAACCAGGTGAAACTAAGGTTTGGCGTTAGGTTCAACAAGTTAATTTAAAATGACATTTTTTACCCAATGGACGCGGTCTCATGCAATGGTGAGGTCTCATTGCATGAAATGTATATTTGGGTCCTTAAGATGTATTTTGGTCAATCATAGTTGACTTGGCCAACCAGGTCAAACCAAGACTTAGATTTTGGTTTAGTACACTCAAAAAAATATTTAGAATGCACTACTAGAGGTTTCAAAGGCTATTTTGAATAAGCCATATTTAGGTTTAGGGGAATGATTGATTTTTCCCTTAAGGATTTTGGGATTTAGTAGGCCCATGGTCAATTGTGGTCAACCAGTATCCACCAAAATGCAGTTTTGTGTTTAAGATATCATAATATAGGTTATGAACATGTTTAAGGGTTTTGGGAAGGTTCTCAAGATCAAATTCCACAAGATGCACAGTGCAGTGACATGTGCTATAGATATTTGAAGATTTTCCAATCTTTGGAAATTAATTCAATTTTTAGGGTTATAGGGCTCAGATTAGACTCAAATTTATAGGGTTGACCCTAGAGACATGCATAATCGATATACAACTAACGGATCCTGAATAAGAGGTCATTTGATTTAGTTTTTGAGGTAAATGAAAAATAACTCAAAAAGGGTTATGAGACATAGGCATTTGGCCAAATCCCATAAAAATGCATATTTCTTTTCCCAAAATAAGAGTTAATAGTTTCTCTGCCGAGTAATATTAGATCAACAAGTCGAGTTTTAAAGATTAAGATTTTATTTGGGATAACTTTCATAGTTCTTTCTAAAATAATTTTTTAATATAAAACTTTTTAGAACTAAAATTTTTTTACTACAAAGCTGCTTTAAAAGCAATAAGAAAACCGTTCTAAATGAAGCCTAAAGTTTTATTTGGGATGATTTTTTTAATACTTTTTAAAGCAATTTTCTAGCATAATAAATTTTATACTAGAAAATTGCTTAAAAAAAAGTAAAAAAGCCTTCCCAAATGAAACGTTGCATTAGTCAACAATAGCTATTGTATATTTCCTTTGATGAAGAGAAATGGTCAATTCTCAAAATTTGGAATGGTTCATTAGCTACAACTTATTTTTGGCCTTATTGTGGAATGGTGAATACATCTGATCTAACCACAAAACAACTAAAATTTATTATTAAAATATATCAAAATAATATTTTTAGCAAAAGATGTTAATAAGGGCAAACATTAATCTATTGGGCCGTCCAGTAACATTGCCACTTGTCTTTAAAGAGTCATGTAGCTCCAATTCTCTGAAAAAAAAAAGGTAAGCATTGACTATATAAAATAAATATAACTATAAAAAATAAATGCTTACCTTTTAAGCAGAGTTTTTTTTTTAAATTTCTTTTAAAAAAAATATTGATCTAAAGTTGTCTCAAATTAAATATATGTGATTCAAATAAATTGTGAAAGAAATTAACAATCATTTTTCAATGAATAGTAAGGCTTCTTTTGGGATGGTTTTTTTATTGCTTCATAAAACAACTTTTAGTACACAAATCAAAATTGTTATACTAGAAAGCTCCTTTAAAAAGCAGAAAAAAATCGTCCCAAATGAAGTCTAAATTTGCTAAAAATGAAGGTCACTGAATCAAACTAACCGAACAGCAGAGAAAAGTTTCAAAAAATGTTTTTATAGAGATTTTTAAAAAAGAAATCAAGTAATATAATGAGTTTTTTATTGAAAATGTCCAAAGCGGAATAAGCAAATTCTTTAAAAAATAATAATTTGATTTTATCAAAATTTATGCATCTTTAGAAATAATTTTTAATAACAAGATGAATATATTTATATATAATTTATTTATATATTCCTTTTCAGCTGAAGCCCGAGCCCTCCTATTTATGCCGTTTTCAAGTCATCTATTGTTAAAAAAACTTTGACGAGGTCGCATTTATTAACAACTATAAAAGCATTTTTCTTAGCAAGAGATCCCATCAAATTCTTTATTAGTCCTGATTAGTGATTCTGCAATCTAATAGCAAGAGATCTACTTGCCATGGAAAGCCATTTGCCAGCTCTCGTTCTCCTCCTCTCATGCTTAATTCTCATCTCCCAGTCTGCAAAGGCAGCTCCTAATCCTTCCCCCACCCCAATCAAGGCCGTCAATCTTGGTGGCTGGCTTGTCACCGAGGGCTGGATCACACCCTACCTATTTGATGAAATTCCTGCGAATAAGGATCTATTGGTAAAGAACAATTACTGCTTATTTTTTTCTATCTTCTTACTTACAACTAACATTCTTATGTTAATTTCAGGATGGTACTCAGATCCAGCTCAAGTCAGTCACGAAGAACAATTACCTCTCAGCCAACAATGGTGGAGGATCGGCAATCCTTGCAAGCCAGTCATCGGCTTCTGGATGGGAGACATTCAACGTATATAGCTTGTATTCTGTCTTTTGTCTTCTTATAAGTAATTCAGATTATATGAATCAAACTCAATCATGAACTGATAAATAGAAATACTATTTAGTTGTGGAGGATCACCGAAACAACGTTCCAGTTTAGGGTTTTCAATTGGCAATTCTTGGGGCTAGATGATCAGGACAATTTGGTGGCCACTTCAACCTCATCTAGTGACTCAGATTCTTCACATACATTTGAGATTGTGAGGAATGATGATGATCCTAATCGAATACGCATCAGAGCGCCCAATGGTTCTTTTTTGGAGGTGTTTGTTTGCATAGATAGTTGAGAATGATTCTAATGGGAGTCATCTTATTTTTTATCCTGAAGTTCTAACTCCTTGAATGTTTTAATGATGGGTAAGTTAGGTCAAGCCAGAAGGGTTGGTGACAGCTGACTATTCGGAGGATACTAATTGGGGAGATGATGATCCTTCCATTTTTTTATTGACTAATGTGAGACAGCTCCTAGGAGAATTTCAGGTCACTAATGGCTATGGACCTGACAAGGCCCCATCTGCAATGATGGTGAGAGCAATATAATTTTTTATTACATACAAAGATTTGATTAGAAAGCATCAGAAATGATTCATTTTTTTAGATTTAAATGAGAATTTGAGTCTTAATAGGATACAATGGAGAGAAATGATGTAGCCGACCACATAGTGGGATTAAGACTTCATTTTGTTGTTTTATTAGTCGTGGAAATATGATGCAATAATAATACTAATTAAATGGTTGTTGGGGTTTGCAGAATCATTGGAATAACTTCATTGTGGAAGATGACTTTAAGTTCATGTCAGAAAATGGTTTGAATGCAGTGAGGATTCCAGTTGGGTGGTGGATACTATTTGATCAAAACCCACCTCATCCTTTTGTTGGTGGATCCTTGCAAGCATTAGACAATGCCTTCTCTTGGGCAGAGTAAGCATATAGTGTTTTTTTATTTCTAAATCTATAAGAAAGTATCTCAATCACATATGAAAGTGTCTCTTACATTAAAATGTGGATTTACATTGTAGGGAGTACAACATAAAGGTGATCATAAATCTACAAGCTGCGCCTGGATCACAAAATGTGTGGGACCATGGCGGAACAAGAGATGGAACACTGTCGTGGGGCAAGACAGACGATAACATCAAAGAAACAGTTGCCGTGATCGACTTCCTCACATCGAGGTAGTATGATTCGAATCTTGATCCATGAGACATTAATTCTTTTACATTATGCTTTACAAATACCCATATCACATAATCTTGCATAGGTATGCAAATAGAACAGGCCTTTATGCAATTGAGTTATTGAATGAGCCACTGGCTCCTGGAGTCACACTTAATCGCCTTGAGAAGTATTATAAGGCTGGTTATGACACAGTGAGGAAGTACTCCGATGTGTATGTGATCATGTCAAACCGTTTATCAATCAGAAATCCTACTGAGCTCATCCAATTTGCGAGTAGCTTCTCTGGATCAGTCATTGATGTTCATTACTACAACTTATTCTCAACACTTTTTGAGGACATGACAGTGCAGCAAAACATAGACTATGTGAAAAAATATCGTGCTTCTACTATTAAATCTTTAACGGTTCCCAATGGTCCTCTTATCTTTATTGGTAAGCATAATAAGTTTTTTAACATTTTCATTATATTTGATGTATTTTTATGATAACAATCAATCATGATTCAATGATGCAGGGGAATGGGTGGATGAAATGGATTTGAGTGATGCATCCAAAGATGATTATAAGAGATTTGGGGCAGCTCAACTTGAAGTGTATGGAAAGGCAACATTTGGGTGGTCTTATTGGACTCTAAAGAATGTTGAAATTCACTGGAGCCTAGAATGGATGATAAAAAATGGATACATAACTTTATAAAATATTAAACATTTATTGAAGATAGTGGGCTATTGAAAAGTGAGCAACATCAATAAGATTAAAGCTTGTAATACAAAATCCATATTTCCTAAAAGTCTTATCACACGCTTGTTAAATTTGGGAAATAAACTTTGATTTTGACCTTAAAAGTGTAACAATAATTGAATGTGCCAAGATTTATATTCAAATTTGACAGGAAAATCACCCATTACCGGCGGAATTTTCATATGTGATATCATGATGTGCATATAATCAAATATAACAATAGGTATGCAAATTAAATGATTTTGTTTGCGAGGTGACTCTCTAATGCTCAAGTCAAAGAGCTAGAAGGTAATTAAAAGAGGACATTAACTCAATATAGTTTTCTTTTTGGGAAGTAAAAGAATGAAATAATAAGAGGTTTACCTAGCCCACATGAACTATTTTTTTAGTGCTTCGATGAGAGGTAGTTTATTATTTTTGTGAGATATATGACTGAAAAAACGAGTAACTTCTTTAAGATATATGTTGGACAAAAATGCAACTATATTGAGAGTATTTTTTTCCACTAACCAAATAGTCCATCAAAGAGTGAAAAATCAAGCCATGTTATCTTTGCGATTCACATTGGACTACATGCCCTTGACGATGATAAACATACAAGTAGAGGCCCTCAACTCAAACATTAGTACTATTAACAATGTCTTTGAGATTGTCGTTAATGAAAGCCTAAATTTGATGGCCAAATTTACGATTGAATTATGAGATTATTGTTTACGAACATAGTCTTCAATAAAATTGTTTAAAGGGTCAACAAAAATATTGACGCGATTTAGATGTTTAGGAACTAAAAATATTTTCCAAGTCTTGTTCATCTTTAGATCAATAATTCATTTTAGGTCTTGCCCTTTTTTCATATATGTCACGGAAAATTAAAAGAATTGCTCCTTGCTATATCATTACACAAGTATTTGTATCTTTTTTGCAATGCTTGAAATTATTTAATTCTTGTTTCTCTAAAATTTTGATTCAAAGTTGAAACTTTATTAATTCAATCACTATTAAGATATCAATGCTTACACTTCCTAATTTTGCATCCTAGCAGATTACAAACAAAACCTAATTATTTTTTATTCTGCGCTTAAGAAAATCATAAATAAAAATCTTTGTTGAAATTTAATGACTATGAAGTACAACAAATAGTGATAATGAGGTTGATTAGACTTCCCTTGTGCTAGTCCAGTACAAAGATGCACCCAAGCAGCCATAATGGTGGTACATTATTACAATTACAGTGATTTCTACAATAATATTTCTAGTTAGTTTATCAGTATAATATAAAACATAAAAAAAAAAAATTATTTTTTCAAATTGTTTTGAAGATTTTTTAAATTAAGAAGAACTATTAGGTAAAGAAAAAACAAAGTTATATTAGTGATTGGGTAAAGGAGGTTGCACGATATGAAATATGATATAATATAGATTATACATGCAACAAAAAACTAATCATGCTATTTCATAAATGGAGAAAATTTAATTACATACAAAGAGTAAGAAAAACTTCCTTGAATCCATTTTCTCTCTCAATCTTTGATTCCAAGATCTCTCTCAAGACACTCCCAATTAAAAAGATGCCTATCATATGCCATATAATAATATATGCTCCTATTTTAGTTCACTTTATATAAAAGTAAAGTTTGTTAAAGCATGGACGACATTTAATTTGGCATGACACGTGATTCATACAATAGACTTGTTAAAAAAAATCATGCCTATAAATGACAAAGTTATGCGATATGGCATCTCAATCGTAAAGTACTATACCAAGGTATCATAATTATCAGTGCACTTCTTGATCCTAAAGGAAACTCATCTCAATCTTCTTTGGGTTGTGGTTCTGTCTCAGTGCTAGACATATTACTCTTGGGAATATCTCGACACTTCTACTTGAGGTACTTCTTTAATGTAGTTTCTCTCGGCAATAATGCTCCTGTCCTGGGAGACTATCAATAATTCATTTCTAGTGATCAAGTGGGAGGAGAGGAAACATCTATATTCTTTTTTCACATGCATAACACTTTGTCGTAAATGCCACTTAACCCTTCTTGTTGATTTTGTATAATACCTTGGTGCCTCATAAAAGGGGTTTGTTTTTTTCTCCACAGTCAATCATTCTTCAATTGAATGTCTCAGCTTAATAATAACTCATCAAGGAGTAGGACTTCTTATATCTCATCTTCTATCTTTAAAGGCTTTAATGGCTTCAAATTTTTTACATTAAACATTATGTAGATCTTCATGTAAATCCAATTAACAGGCATTGCCCATAACCTTCTTGAAGATCTTTAACAAATCATACTTGATCGGTTTGACATTTTTTGACCTAAATTTTCATTCTCTCCGAGCTATTGTTGGACTACTCAAGATCTCCATCTTTGAACTTTTCCCAATTCGATGGAAATTATGTTGACCTTTACATAGTTGTTGCATCTTTTTGAGGTGTATCTATACCTCAAAGAAAAATGTTGGGATCTTCTCAATAAATATTTGGCTGCTCTTGAGGCTTGTATCTCATCTTTCAACGCTGGGAATTACTTCTATCGAAAACTTCAAGTTAAAAGGACTTTGTGGATTATACCGAAGGAATGAATTAAATGGATATAAACATGTTAAACTATGAAATTATTTATTAAAAGTAACTGGATTTTCATTAGACTTTCATCCTAGGGATATTATGCATTGAATCCATATAACAAGTGCATTAAAGTAATGTTCACCATCTCAACTTTTTCATCAGTTTGTAAATGAAAAATAATTCTTCTCCTTAGTGTTTTATTCATAATGACAAAAATACTAGAACGAGCAGACGAAGCAGAGATCTCTTTCCAAGATCATTGAGCTCAATAAATCAAAATGCACCAATTATTTTTGAATAAGAGATGTCAAACTCCTTCTCAAATGATGTTGTTATTGAACATCTTGAACACTATAAAAATATTCCTATTTAAAAACAACTCCACCATAATGAAAATATGGTTATAGGACTAGGGTCAATTTTAGCCTTGTTAGAAAATATATGAACTTTTTTTCTCACAGATGACTTGGAGCATGCAAATTATAATATAATCTTTGCTTTTTATTTGAGTGCTTTGAGGAGCAACAAAGTATGCATCCTCTCAGGAAATTGAGCATATCCTACTACACTTTCGATTAATAGACATTTCTACGGAGATTTTCTATCACAAACTAACCTAATATGACCCATAGATATGGCTTGTTATACAATGTTGAATTGAAATAGATTAAGTCCAAGATCAAAGATTTGGAACTTTTTTAGATTTTCTTAAATTTTAAAATAGACCATAGAGCTACTAATGTACTTGCAAACAATAGAAATGTGGGCTCTGAAAATTCGGCCCCGGCCTCTGCCAGCACATTACTGCTTTTTCTTTTGGCGAGGGAGTTTTAACAGAATAAGTTCCGGGGTAAATTTTGGAAGGCAGATGGGTTTGTAGATAAGACACTTCCCAAAGATTTTTCCCTCATTTTGCGAGGACTTTATGATATGAGTTCTGGTTTCCTATAGGCGCAAGCCCCTATAGTTAATTACCCCTCCCGATCATGAGAGAGAACTTTCTATTTAGGCTAGTAGTCAATCAGATATGTAAAGATACGTGTTATCTGGCATATAGTAGCAGCAATAAACATTTGGAAGGGTTTGAGAATTTGGAAAAGTTTGAAGGGTTGGAAGATTTTGATATTTAAAATAGAAATTGCACCATCTTGCACTTAAAGCAGATGGCGGGGGAATGGATGATAGACCCGATCAAGATCCCATGGTTTCGTCGTCTCGGGCCATCTTTGTCCCTGGTCAACTTAGTCAGAGGGGGCAGTCAACCCAACCTGAAAGAAGGATCCTTGTCGGCAGCCATGGGTTGCTTCGTCCAAGGGGACCTTGTAGACCTGGGTTGGATATTTGCCAAAGGGGACAAATTTGAATCTACCTTAGCTAACAGATGGCTTTGTGCCCTATTAATAATATCATATTGATTTATATATCAAGAATTTGATGCCAATAAGGAACATATTGGCGCTGGCCATAATCGGTATTTTGTGGTGCCATTTGGCGGCAAAACTACCGGTTAGAGGATACGTACCACGTTCTTATTGGCAGGAGATTGTTTGAGAATGAATCCTAGTGATATTTTTGACTAGGCATTTGGCTCTTTGTGAGCTGAAGTAAAATTTAATTTGTCCACCTTGGCAAACTGATGCGGAGGGTGGATGAAATTTGCTTTAAGTGATTGATGGATTGAATTTCAATTTTAAACATTTTTGGGATTTTGGGATTTTGAGATTTTTTTTTATTTTGGGTTTTTGTGGGTATTTGGGATATAATTTAAAAATATTTGTGAACCCCTTTCGGTTGAGATAAATATTCAACATGGCCATCATCGGGGTGTCAGGGGTTATTTTTATTTAAGCTTGAACCTTGTCGACCCTATGAACTTGCTGACAGGGGATCGTGTTTTGTAGGCTTTATGCCTTTGTTAGTGAATTCATATTATTATAGGCCTTGAAAGCCTAATATGAATGTATTAAAATAAATATACCTGTCATCGCAATCGCATATTTGTTTGATGGTTCAAACCGTATCGACTCATATTGATCAGTATAAAAACATCAGGTTCAAACTTGAATTCACTTATCGACCCGTGTAATATCTCTAGGCGTCACGTGTGCACCCATAACACGCTCGTCGAGGCCCATGCGGGTGTTTGGGGGCATTTTATAATTATTTATTAAACCTTGTCGACTCCTATTTACCTACTTAGGAGGATCGGGTTCAACTTTATTGACCCGCACAACATCTCTAGACGCCACGTGTGTACCAATAACACGCTCGTTGGGGCCCATGTGGGTTTATAATTACACTTACCCCTTGTGTACCTATGTATATACAATCTACGGTGCATGTGCAGGGGTATTTTTAGAAATTCAACGGGTCTTCCACTACAGCTTATAGAAGTTCATCTTTGTCGTAGTCTCTTCAGCATTTGCTCATGAGCGATAGATTAGGTGTATTGCTGGTCTTCTATAGTGGCCCATGGATACTTGCACTTGTTGTAGTCATTTGGTATTTTGCTCGTAGATGACATCTAGTGTATATGATGAGTCTCCCACAGC